TTTTTATTAAATTTGAATCATAAATATCTTGCACTTTGCAAGAGCAGCAATATAACGCATTAAAATTGCTGAGTTTTTAATTAACAGTTCCTTAAATTCCCACAAAATATGGAATAAATTCAAACTTATATTTATCTTCTCTCTCAATTCTGCTCTATTTATTCTGGTCATTTTTGTTGGTTAGATTTTGTAATTCAGATATATTGACAGCTAAATATTAAATTCCTAAACCGATATTTCAAATAATTCTGGCATTTAATTAGTTATTAAGTAACTTGCTTTAATTTTAATAAAACATTCTGATTAATTAGAATGTTAATCCTATAAAACAATGTAATTAATTGTGAAAACTTTTTAAGTTTTCAGAGAAAATTTATCAAGTGGGACCAAACTTGAGAATAAATAATAACAATCTAATCTCTTATTAAATTTTTCTTTGATGCATAAATAAAAATACATATGTTTGTAGTAAATAATTATAAAGTTTTTTTTATTTCTTATGATAGTATGGATGTGGATGGTGTTTCATTTCTGATAAATTTTGTAGCCTTGGTGAAAAATTACTATAAATCATTTTCATTACGGATTATAGATGGTGTTGGTTCAATGGGGCTGTGCTCTTATTAATTTTCAAATGCTAAAAAAAAAAAAAAAAAAAAAAAAAAAAAAAAAAAAAAAAAAAAAGGCTGTTCACATTTAAATGTATTTCCAAACAAAGTAGTTATTCTTAGTGCAAAAGTTAATAATTAATTTATTTTCTGATAATTACAAATAAAAATAAACATATCTTTGAATAAGATTTATATCGCATTGAATATTAATTAGCTTCATTTTATGTATTTTCTAGTGAGTTATTCATGTTTGTTTTTAATGCATATGAAAATAATATCAGTGTGGACTTCTGATTATTGAAAATCTTTGCAGCAAATGTATAATTGAAAAAATGTCTTTACAGGCCACATAAATTTTCTACTCATAAATGTGTTATTTTGAATCATATTGCAAATTCACTGTACATTTTTTATTGTTTCAATGTTTGTTTTGAATATTTGCTGATAATATTTGCAACCATAATAATTGTTTTTAACTACATTTGGGCCAGCATCCATGTGTGGTTTATCAGCTGAAAGCCAAAACTCAACAAACCTCAAACGGTAATAATTATATTTAACTGCATTCAAACAGGCATCTATGATCAGTGTGTGGGTCGATCAACTGAAACACTGAATGTATACAAATCTGAAACAGTAATGATTGTATTTAACTGTATATTTGTACAGGCATCCTTGCTGAGTGTTTGAGTTAATCAACTGAAACCCATTTGCTGGCAACATCTGGAAGAGTAATAATTGTATTTAATTACATTTTTACAGGCATGATGCCTGTAAAAATGTAGTCAAATACAGTAATGATGAAACTCATTTGCGTGTTGCTGGACTGAAATCTATTCATCCATCATGCTGCACTGCAGTGTAGTCAAGGAATAGGTTTGCATTTATCGTGATAATCATACCTGATAATCATAGACAGTGAAACCTTCCTAAGGTGACCTCTTATAGTTCTTAATGCTTTGGGTCTTCCATGGAAGTGGTCACCTCATAGAGGCGATGTTTATGTTTTGAAAAGACGTCACTTTTTAAAGTAGTCCACCATGACAGATTTCACTTTATTTAGTTGAAGATAAACCCATTCCTTGAATGTCAATTTATTGCTTTCCCGTGTGCTTGATTAAATTATATATGATTTTGTGTTTGTAGTTATTTTTGTTTCCAAATTTGATTATTAAAAATATTTATTCAGAACCAGAATTAGAAACATTGCTTGATTTTTTAATGCTTTTGTGGCTGTTTCCTGTGACAACCACAAAATCGTATCAAAATTCATTTTTTATTTATCTTTTTATCTGAATTACTGCATTCCAATCTGGCATTGGAATTTAAGCCTCTGCGATTTTAAAAGCGGAAAATTAAGAAAATAAAAATGATTTTATAATAGGTGTTAAAAAACAAGAAATACTTTTATTTGCTAAAATGGACTCTAATATGAATATAACAAGGTACCAAATTGATTGAGACTTTCTTCAGATATAATCTCACTTCTTACGGACATTTGCACTGTCAAAATACCGAATTCTCATCTTCACTGTTGCACCAGAGCATACCGTTTTCTGTGCCATTAAAAGGTAGATTTTTAGATAATTTCTTTAAAGATGTGGAGGAAGTAGGAGATCAACAGAAACAACATGTTAAAATATTTGCTTTAAATTGAAGTCGTACTCTAATGTTAAATCTTAAAAATATGAATAATTAGGGACAGCTTTAAATTTGAAGTAATGCAGTATTAGGAGTTCTTTTCATTTTCTTAAATGTTTGATATCTTAATATCTTCTAAATTTCAGTTATCATTTAAATTGCATAGCTACCAACTCTCCCGGTTTTTCGTTAAATCACTCAATCTCTCAGTTTTTAATTTTTAGCCTTTACTAAAGAAAATGTTTGCCAGCACTAAAATTAATTGAATTAACAAAACTGAAATCAAGCAAATTGCAAGTGATTTTCAGAATAATTTTTTTCTATTAAATTTGGTTTCATCTGAAATGTACTTTTTTATTGATCTTAGTAAATTTAATGCGATTTAACTGGTCTTAATATACTGGTGACATTTGTAGATTTTTATACAGTACAAAGTCCGTAATCCAGACTCATTGGACTTCGGTGATTCCGTATTAAGGGTTTTTCCGGATTATAGATCAATTTAAATCTGGTAAGAAATTATACAATTAAAAATATGAAACCGTAATTTATGAAATAAAAAGCAATTATGATCTAAAGGGTATCAAAATTTGCAAAAAAAAAAAAAAAAAAAAAAAAAAAAAAAAAAGGGCTTAATATTTGTTTACTTTATTAAACATTTCTTTCAATGCAAGTTGTTTAAGTTGCTTTGTTTTTTGTGCTAAACGCGCATGCGTAAAGCATACAAAGAAAACGTTTGTGGCTTTGAGGTCCGGATTATAGATCATTTCGGATAATGGACGTCTGGATTACAGACTTTGCAGTGTACAAAGATTCGAGCAATGTTTAATCAGCTAATACTTGTATTCAATATATGGTACATATCAAAGTTTATCCACAGAAATACTGTGTACATTAATCATTAATTTTATTTTCATCGCATTATTTAAAAGTATTTTGATAAATAGAGTAGTTTCACTATTTGGGATTTTCTCAGCATGTAAAAAAAAAAAAAATTAAACTAGCCATAGAACATAAAATTTAGAATATCTATTTAAATGGTAAATTTAAACAAATTTAAATTCTTAACAAATACGTATAAAAGTAAAAAAGCAAATTTAAATTCTAAAAAAAAATTTTACATCAGAACTGTATTACAAATAGTTCAATAACCTGAATCATTCATTATAAAGTGAATTAAAAGTCAGTTTGAAGATAATTTGAAATGGCGTTGCCACTCAGCCTGTAAACCTTTTGGATTTTAAGATTTCGAGAACGCAGCTATAACATTAATTCTAGCAGAAAGATAGGTTTATATATGTGTCTGTATCAGTTACAGGAATAGGAAATAACCATATGTTTATATGAAGAAGAAATTAGAAATTTGAAAGCATGTTCAAAGATCTGCATTATAAAAGTTCCGAGTTTTCGTAAATTTTTAATTTTTAGTTATTTATTTATATTTTTTCCTTTATGATTTGCAACTTAAGTAACAAAGTTCAGTTTAAAATAATTTTCCTTTTTTGGTTATTATCTTGCAGTTTAAAATTTTTCTGTTAGTTTGCAGGTATAGCAGTTAATTAGCATTGAATTATTTTGTTCTTAAAAATTTAAGAATATTATGTAATGTAAATGATGCACACAATGTAAATAACACAAACACTTAACTGAAAATTTCTTTCTGGACTTCTGTACTATGTATATAATAGTTTGAATTTAATAACTGCAAGTTTGTCTTGAGTTTTTTTTTTTTGTCTAAAATGGATTAAAAAATTGAATGATAGACTTATTTTAATATACAGTACAAAGTCCGTAATCCGGATGTCCGTTATCTGGAATGATCTATAATCCGGACCTCAAAGCCACAAACATACGCATGCATGTAAAGACAGTAAAGCCTTTGAAGAAAGTGACAGTGAGGTTATTGAAAACGAAAAAATTTCGATTGAAAAGTTAGTCGGTATTCTCGACACAGCAATTACAGGATTTGAACAGTGGAACTTTGTAACTGAACAAGAAATTATGCCTGCACTTGTTTTCATTTTAAATTTTATTACTTCTCACTGTAAATAATAGTCTTTATTGTGTTCTTTTTATTAATTTTAAACTTTATTGATGGATTTTATCAGTTAAGACTTTGGAATAATTTGAATAGCGCTTCCGGAAATTATTTTAGAAGATAAGCAATTTTTTAAGTATATTTTCATGTAAAATAAAGAAAAAAATGTTTTTAAGGGCTAATTTTAACATATATAAGAGCTCAAGTAATAATCTAAAACGATACCAAAAAATTACGATGCTAGAAGCGAAACTTTTGTTTTTCTGATTTTTGTTATAAAATTACACTTAGCGATGGAAAACCTCCGTCCTGTACGGTGACTGCCTTTGATTCTCTTCCGCCCCGCATGAGCATCTTAAACAAAGGTGCGCCATCACGATAAGGTTAATAAAGTAAACAAATAAATATTAAGCTTTTTTTTTTTTTTTTTTTTTTGTAAATTTTGTTACTTTTTAGATCGTAATTGCTCTTTATTTCATAAATTACAGTTTCATATATTTAATTGTATAATTTCTGCATGCCGTCTTACCAGATTTAAATTGATAATCTATAATCCAGATAAAAACCCTAATCCGGAATCGCCAAAGTCCCGACGAGTCCGGATTGTGGACTTTGAAAAATTTGTATAGTTTCTTTTTCTTTTTATGTGCAGTTTTTAATTGGAATATGTCCGAAATTTTTTATCACATAAAGCATTATTCTGATTTTAGATTTTGATCTTGGATATAATTGACATCATTCCTGAACTAGGCCAGCCACTGATGAGAAATAAAATCAAGATCAAGGTAGATTTCTTTTATTGCTCATTATATAATTATGTTGTATTAGTATCCAGCATATTAGTGCAGTAAAATAACTATATGTGATATGCAGATACTTTTGGTCTTTTATGAAGGTGGCTGTCTTAAAGACAGGTGATATATCAGTGTCTGTTTACATTCTCGAAAGTACTGGTCAAGATATGTGCCAGCTGTCCAGTTTTTGATTGAATTTTTGTTAAACATATTTCTCTGGACTCTTGTCTTATTTCTAAATTTTCTCATGAATTTCATGCAGCTTGGCATATTATCCCTAATTTCTGGGAACTAAAATTGCTCGATTTTTCTTTAAATTACCAATAAAAAAAAAAAAAAAAAAATGTGATTTATCATTGGCAAGCTATTTAGTGTATTTAGTAACTGAGAGTAGATATGTCTAAAAACATCCTGTTTCAATTCTCCAGTGACCATCCAGCATAATTGCAGGTTCTGCTTGCACATGTCACTCAAGATTGATGCTGTTCTTTGTGTTTATGTTGTAACTAAATGCTTTGAAAAAATTTTAAGGTTTAAAATTAAACAAAATAACAACCTTTTTGGTCTACATTCTGAATTAAATTAAGATTGATAACTAAATCGATTTAAATTTTTTGCTCCTAAAGAAGACGAGCCTTCAAATCCGATTGCCCTCAAAATTTATATAGTTTTATTCAAAGCCTGTGTTAAAATAAAAAATGTTTTCTCTTTTGCTTGATTTTCAGTTTTACATTATTTCTTCCAATATAAGTCTTTGAGGATGAGTAAAATCTTTGAGCTATAAATTTGGAAAGCTGGAATGTTCCGATGGAATTTTAAAATATAGCTAACTACCTATCTAAAATAATAGTCGCCATCTTAATTGTTCTTTATACCAGAATGTGAGAAAATTTTGTTGTTACAAGGATTAACTTTCTATCGCGATTAATGGTGACACACTGGAATAACTTTCATTGGCAAAAAGAGGTCTTCTTGGTAATTTCTATGAACAAATGGTAATTTGGTGATGAACAAATGAAAGTTTCTGTGCTACTTTTTTTCTTAAAGAAAGCAAACATCTGATGCTGTTGTTAATAATCAAATGAATATTGATCAAAGTGTCATTTTTGTATAAGAAGTAAAAAGAAAGTATTTTTGTACAATTTGAATTCAAGAATTAATATATAAATATCATTATTAAAAAAAAAAAAAAAAAAAAAAAACTCTCACATTAGAAAAATCTTCCGATTCTAAGGAAAATTCTCATTTTGAGTTGTGTTGAGTCATATGGGTCTTTTTTAGAAGGGTTTATTTTAAGAAGGTGGGTGTTAAAAAATAATTAAAAATGTTAAATTAAAAAAATAAAACCATCAAAATTTAATTTTTTTTTGGGGGGGGGGGAATTATTTTGCCCATATAAAAACTGAGGCAATAGTTAAAAATATGAGTTGCAGTCTCCACTCTGAAAATCAAATTTGAAAACAGTCGAATGATAACCATTTATGCAAAGTTTGGGCTTTTTTTTCTGTCTGATCCTTGCTAGATATTTTGATCATAAGGAAGGTGTTCAATTAAAATTCTAGATTTAATCGCTCTTCCTGAGGAAATATTAGAAATAATCACCAAGTACAGTATTGATACGT